AGAGAGAGAGAGAGAGAGAGAGAGAGAGAGAGAGAGAGAGAGAGAGAGAGAGAGAGAGAGGACGGAGCAACTCTGCTGACGAGCCCGTGGGATTCAGACGCGAAGCGTCTGCTCTTCGAGCCTTTGCCAAGGTGGAGAACGTCATGTGCAAGGAAATGGAATCCTTCTCCCGTAGTGACTATGCGAGTTTGATCAGGCACAAAGTGCAGGCCCATGGGTTGGAGCCATTGTGATAGGAACCCTTGCTCCCTGAACAACTCTTCGAGCCTTGTGAAGAACAACGAAATCATCGGCGTATCGCCATAGACGTCAACCGGTTGAGATTTTTTTTTTTGTGTGTGTGTGCGGCCGAGCCGCTGGAGAAACATTTCTTGTATATTGATAATAAATTTGGGGGACGACACCTTCGTGTGTTGATTGTATCTCGGTTCAGCTTCTCACGTGTGATCTCTCATGTGAATGTTCATTGATGTATGCAAGGTTGAACTTGACGAGTGCTTGGATCATTTCACTCACAAGCCCTCCGGTAGTTGCGAGTAGCCTACTGACTCTGAGAGAGAGAGAGAGAGAGAGAGAGAGAGAGAGAGAGAGAGAGAGAGAGAGAGAGAGAGAGAGAGAGAGAGAGAGAGAGAGTTTGGAACTTTGGATGCATCATTGGGCCCATACCTGCAAGTGCAATGTACTCTCCCCTCCATCAGGCTTGGCTTGAACAACCGACCTTGTCCTTCTTACCCCACTTGTCCCCTCATGTCCATCCCTGCCACCTTCACCTCCCCTCTGGAGGCCACCCAACGCAGCTGCAGGTGACCTTCTAGGAGAAGACAGCGGTGACGACAAATACCGAAACCTATTTTCTGTAAAACAATTCACCGACGGCCAGCCGTTGGAGCTGCACGGTGCCCCTCGCTGTCACATTCACAACACGAACAAAGAAAGGAACAGATCAGCAGTGTTTCTAGTGTTTTTTTCCCTTCTTTAAGAAAGGAACGGCTCATGTGCGGATGACACACGGCGATCCAAGCAGTGTTTCTAGTGTTTTGCTCCCTTCTTTAAATAAAAAAAAAAAGAACAAGGAAGTCCCTGGAGAATGACATCCAAACAGTGTTTCTCGTGTTTTTGTTTTTGTTTTTTGCCCCCGTGTTTTGTCCCCTAATTTCCCTTCTTTTTAACACCATCCCCCCCCAAAAAAATAAAAAACTGTCATTCTTCTTCTCTCTGTTTATTTTTATATATCTTTTACAGTCTCCCTTTTATAGAAGTTTTATTCAAGGGAAAAAGTAGGGTGCAGTCACGGTTTGAGTTTCAAAATGCAGTCTAGGCAAAACGCTGAAAATTTGAATGTATACAAACTAGATTTAGGGTCCGGTGGGAAGGGGGGCAGGGGGGGGAGGGGGAGGGGGGTATGTTCGACGGATGCCTGGAATGCATTTTGAAACTGCTTTATTTTTTTGAAGCGGCGACAGCCTTGAAATGTCATCCAAAATGATCCAAGGAACTGACTGGCCCTACCTAGGTGATTCAGAATTGTGCCGTTCAAGCCTGTACGGACTTATAGATCGTCCAGTTCAAGGGGCGACAGCCTTTATTTTAGTCATCTGCTTCCAGTGGAGTTCGAACTCAGGTCTGTATTTCAACAGTTCAAGCCTGTACGGACTTAGCTAGTACGCTCGAATTCCATTCTAGTTATTGGATATCACAGGGATGAATCTGGTCATCAGAAAGACAAAATACATGCGCACGCTTTCTAGTTATCGGGAATCACAGGATGAATCTGGTCAGAAGAAAGACAAAGTCCATGCACGAACTTAGCCTGTACGGACTTAGCTAGTCCAGTTGGTGTTGCCCCTCTATTCTTACTCTTCTTTCTTGTTGTTGGCCTTCAGGCACCTTTTTTTCTTTTAGACTGTGTGCTGGCTGGAGCTGGACGCCACTCCACGACCTGCTGCGGTTCAAAAGGCAGAACCATTCACTCATCAGGTATCTCAGAGAGAAAGGGAGAAAGGAGAGCTCCTTCTCCTCCTCCTCCTCCTCCTCCTCCTCCTCCTCCTCCGACCTGCTGCAGTGCAAGGCAGTACCTTTCACTCATCAGGTACCTGAAAGAGAGAAAGGGAGACTCCTTCTTCTTTTTCTCCTCCTCCTCCGCCGCCTCCTCCTCCTTCCTCTTCTTCTTCTTCTTCTCCTCCTCCTCCCCCTCCTCCTCCTTCCTCTTCTTCTTCTTCTTCTTCTTCTTCTTTGTCTTCGTCGGAGACCAGTACATGCCGATTTGTAATGACTGTTGACACGTGCATGTTCGAGAAGCAGTCTATTTTCTTCTTCTTCTTCTTCTTCTTCTTCTTCTTCTTCTTCTTCTTCTTCTTCTTCTTCTTCTTCTTCTTCTTACTCCCCTCCGTATCCGCCTCCTTGGTTCCTGAGAGAGACCAGAGACTTTGTGACCAGTCTATTTCAGGGAGATTTTCTCAGGTTCAGACTAGGCATCGAACTTGGGGGGGCAATTGAGAGTTGGGAAGACTATAATCAGTGTGCCTTTATGTCTCTCCTCTCCATCTCCATCTCCATCTCCATTTCCATCTTCTCTCACATTCCTCTCTATCTCCTCACCATCTCTGGTATGGCTATCTCCCCAAGTGCCTGATACACCCCCACGGCGGGGATCTTTGTCTATATTTGTCTCCCCTAATGTTTGGTGGCTTGGGTCTCGATCGATCGATGAGTGCATTGTTACTGTCAGAGTCGCCACGAGTCGCCTATCCAATGATTGATTGACCAAGCAATCAAGCAAGCGATAATAAGCACAGATTGCCAGCTGATTGATTGATTGAGCAAGCAATCAAGGAAGCGATTGCGCAAATACGTGATCTGCTGACCGCTTGCATGGTCGCGAGCGACGGATCCACTGATTTCTTCAGCAACCGACCCCCCTCAAGCAATCCACTTCCGCAGTTATTAAGCTCGATCATCAACCCTCCTTCCATGCCTCTACACCTCCCCCTCCTTCTCCTCCCTCTCTCCCTCCTCTATCCATCCATCCCTCCTTCTCCTCCCTCTCTCCCTCTCTCCCTCCTCTATCCATCCATCCCTCGTTCCACCCTTCCATCCTTTCATCACTTCCTCTTTCATCCGTCTCCCTCCCTCGTTCCCTCCCTCCATCGCTCCCTCCTCTCTCCCCTCCGCCCCATCCCTCCCTCCCTCCCTCCCTCCCTCGCTCCCTCCTCTCCCCCCTCCCCCCCATTCCTCCCTCTGTCCCTCCCTCCCATTCCTATCCATTCATACATACATTAATACTGATTGAATGAAAGGATAGATATCTGAAGTATCACTGAACTAACAGATTACCCTCACAACATGGAACATAACAACAGAACCAATTTCTCTTCTCCACGGCTACTGTGCCAATTGTTGACGTTGCCTGAGAGCTGACCGCGGTGATAAGATAAGATAAGATTTGAGCGTCTTCTACTGGACTCAACGAGTCGATGACCGGATGGTTCTTTCAGTCAGCCACTTCTCCTTTTTTTCTTCTTCATTTTTTTTCCTTCTTTTTTTTCTTTCTTTTTTCGTCTTTTTCTTTTCTTCTTTTTTCCTTTTTTGCGACTTCCACATCCTACAATTTTTTTTTAATTATTATTTTAATTTTCTTAGGAAAAGAACAAACCCCCACCCCACGACTGATTTAGTTGACAACAACAAGAACGCAAAACGCCGCCAGTTCGGTTGAAAAAAAATTGTGGGTACCGGCCCTCCCCTCCGAATACAGAACGCACTCTAAACGGTCATTGTGCTTGCATTGGGGCAACTTTCAGTCTAGATACAGCCATAATGACCGTACGTTCAATTCGGGAAAAGACAGATGGGGGTGTCAGCGGCTCAGTTCAGTTTTTGTTTTTCGTTTTTTGTTTTTGTTTGTTTTGTTTGTGAAGTACATCAGTTGAGCTAATCCCCACACCAGAAAGCAATAGCAGTTTAACCTAACCTAAATCCCACTCAGTGCATTACTCACACTAGCACTTTCCAGAATGCATCTGACTGCAATTACGGCCAAGACGTGGATGAATCTGACTGCAATCCTGTCCCCAGAGCTTTATTTTATGCTAGAAAAAAAAATCCTGACATGAGTGTGCCCTCAGACGACTGATCACGCGTTCACCCCAAAGGCTCATTCTTCAGGGAAAAAAAAAAAAAAAAAAAAGGGCACCGTTTTATTCCGAACAGAACGCCCGATCATTCTACCTGAATCTAGACTGAAAACTGCCCCAAATTCACCTATAATAACCAGGCTTTGCGTACCCCCACTCATGGGCCACCAAACATAAACTTTCACTCACGTGCTCAACTTTTCCCTCCCCCCCTCCCCCCCACCCCCACCCCCCAGGCTTTGCGTACCCCCACTCATGGGCCACCAAACATAAACTTTCACTCAGTCATGGTCAATGGCTATGTGTCTACCTCCTTCCCTTTAACTAGATCTCTTCGTCAAGGTTGTCCGTTGGCCCCCGTTCTGTTTGTAATTCAAATGGAGAATCTTATGTGTAATGTATGCTCAAACCCATCCATTTAGGGACTGAATGCGGGAGCCTCCCAATGTAAGGTCAAGGCTTTGGCGGACGACCTATTCGAAATATCTGAGAACTCACAGACTTCGAAGAACGCCTTGAAAGAGTGTCTGGATGAATACTCGGAATTCTCTGAAGCATCAATCAACTGGGCTAAATCAATCTTTTTCCTCCCTAAATCAGTCGCAAACTGGGGAATGAAGCGGATAGCATCTGATCAATCAGAAAGATTTCTTAGGGTTCAAGTCTCCCTGCTGTCTTGTACCGTAGATCAGAAGGGAATTTTACTGCAGTGCTCTCTACAGAGGGCTGCAACATGGGGTAGAGCTCCTCACCTCTCCATTTTTGGTAGAGTGTTGGTAATAAACAGTGCACTTTTCTCTCTGCTCTGGTTCGTAGCTGCGGTTAAGCCCCTAGGTAGGCATCTCTGTACGCTGATGCGACGCAGGGCTGCAAAGTTCATTTGGAAACCATATGCGGCGGATGATGAGAGTTTTATGTCTAAAGTTGCATGGGATTTGCTGTGTCATCCCAAGGAGGAAGGAGGTCTTGGTCTTATCGACCCACAACGTAAGGGGATCGCGATGTTGGCGCAGTGGGCAATCAAAGGTATATGCTCACCAGAAGAGTCACATTGGATTTCCTTAGCAGAAGTCATTCTAGCAACAGAATGGAATCTGTCTCGCCCAGCGAACGTCAGGACATGCTTCCTCTTGGCGTCTTTCTAGAACCGCAAGATTGATTCAGAGTTTTGGAAAGTCGTCATGTCGGCCTGGAAAAGGTTGAAACCCAATTCATGGACTAATCCCTCCACTAAAGCAAAAGTTCTACTCCAACCCCTCTTTGAGAATCCACAGATACGCAAATTGGACAGTAACTGGTTCTCTGCAGACTCATATCGTAGTAGCTTTGGGAGGAACTGGATAGAAAGAGGGGTGTTAAGAATTGGCGATATTTGGAATGTGCTTGAAGGTCAATGGATATCGTCCGCAGCACTGAGGGACCTGCTGGGCCCTGTCTGTTTCGTGGAGGAAAGGTTAACAGAGTTAATTCGAGCTCAACATCGACCCTGCCCCTTCATTTTGGAAGCTAACGGGGACAGGGATGAATGGGAAAAGAGAATTCCAACTGTGGAAGGGGATTAGGACAGACAAACCTAAAGACCCGTCGTTAAACGCCATCCTCTCCCAGGTCCGTGTCTGGGAAGTTTATGATGAAGAAGGCAACTGGACCTGTCAGTTGTTCGCAAAGGGCACAGCTATTCAGCAATTGAAGCTCGACCCCGAGACGTGGGGTTGGAAAGGTGAAGGAGCAGGCGGAGAAGACTTACCACTCCATCTGTATTCCACTGAGCTAGGCTACACCACCCAAATGCCGACACTTAAGCCTCTGGAAGTTGCAGTAGCAAGGTGGAGACAGGTGGTGGACTGGGATTGCCAATCCATCGAAAAAGCCTTGTCCCGCTGCTGGCACCAACTATCGCTAGCTCCATGCCCGCGCCTAGCTGTTAACTTATGGCTGCTCTCCCTGTTGGCTACTCCGTCAGCTGTCAACCTGGTACAACGAGGACTTTAGATTGGTACGACGTGCAAAAGATGCAACTAGGCTTTTGAGTCAACCACTCATCTGTGGTATGACTGCCCAGCTGCCCTCAGAATCTGGGATTGGTGGAAGAATTTATGGGATGGCATCTCATACTGCCGATTATCTTGGAATCGTGATTGGGTCCTCCTGGGAGGACTGCCAGACAACCTGGTACTCAATAAGGCGTGGGGCTACATCACTCAAGTAGCCCGTGCAGTAGGATGCGATGTCATCTGGAAAGGAAGAAACAAGTGCTTATTTGACGACAAGGAAAAGTCCAATACAGAGATCGGAGAGTCTTTCAGAGGCTCCCTTCGACGCATCATCCAAGCGGATTGGAAGAGAAAGGGCAGGACTAGATCAGGAGAATGGTTTGGAGCAACTTGGGGCCTAGGCGGGAAGTTAGCAAGGCTGGAGGAAGGAAAGCTGGTTCTAGCTGAGTGGTTCTGGGCAAAGTAGACATCTTTAGGAACCTGGGGTACTCGGTTCTATCATCCACAGGAGGATGGCAGGGGGAATTGGGGACAGGTAGGAGCGCCCTCACTTCGGTCCGAGCAGGTCCAGGCTGCCAATTTTAGGCAGCATTTCTTAGGAAGTAGACTAGTGGACTCAGTGCTGTTTGGTATTGTTTGGCTTTCACGAGGCTTGTAGTTGTAGTTGTTGGTGGATTGTTTCCTTTTTCGTCTTTGGTTTGTTCGGTTTTATAGGCCTGGGGCACTCTTTTTGGTTACCAGAGGTTGGGATTTCAGGGCAGCGGTTGAGAGTTGGCCGTTTCTGTCCCTAGATTTTTCCTGGCTTTTGTTTGTGGTTTTATAGTTCTTCAATTTTTTCCTCAGCCAGAAGGCTGTAAGCGAAACCGACTGATGCTGCCGGGATAACTCGGGGTTGAATTGTGAGGTCCCCGGCCTCGGGATCCTTATTGAAATAAATGATTGCTGTTGCAAAAAAAAAAAAAAAAAAAGGTGAGAGATGGTCGCCCAACAAACGGCACAATTTTTATTTTTTATTTTATTTTTATCTAATACTCGATTTTTGGCTCTCCAATCTGAGGAACCATTGTGGCAACCTATCTCTTTTTCTTTTCTTTTCTTTTTTTCTTTTCTTTTTTTTTCTTTTTTTTTTCCTGCCATCTTATCTGAACACACCCGACGGCCCCACTGTCGCCATACTAAGGATGATTAGGCTTGGTTTTGAGTAGACTCCCGTTCCTGCCGTCCATCCGATCTCTTCATTTTTTTATTTATTATTTATTATTTTTATTTTCTTGCCATCTTATCTGAGCACATCTGAATGCCGCAATGTCGCCAACGTCGAAAAATACTCCAAAGGATGATGACTCAACTCCCACTACTTCTCACCAAATGTGTAAAATGAGAATGAATCTTCCGCTAGAACATGGGCAGATACATCACCACTAGTGGGACTTAGCCCTAGGGTCCAGCAATAGCACACAATGTACTAATGTGTTTGTTTGGCTGTCATCGGCCACGTGAGGTGAGCCCTCAATCATTTGCGAGCATAGAGTCGGCGTTTGTTTTTTCCGTGATATTTTTTTTGAATTAACAATAAATAAAAATAAATAAACAGGCGGAGCTAATGACCCTGACTCACATTCCTGAGCTCCTTTTGAGTCCGAGATTGTCCAATGAAGACTGTAGTCAGATGCTTGGATAACTACCGTCTTCCCCCGAACAGAGCGCACCCCCATTATGGCTGTACCGGACCGGAAAGTTGGCTTGTATACGTTCATTATTATCAGGGTGCATTGTGTTCGGGGGGTGAAGACGGTAGTTCACTGGCCTCGCTATTCTCAGTTCTATTCTGTCCTTGTCCATTCTTGAGAGAGTCTTTTTTTTTTTTTTTTTTTTTCCATTCTTGTGAGAGTCAGCCAGGTCCCTTTTACCCCGGTAAGTCATAAAAATACAGTTTTCTGTTTTAACTTTTTTTGTTTTCAC